TGTCACTCTTACTCTCTGTCACTCTTACTCTCTGTCACTCTTACTCTCTGTCACTCTTACTCTCTGTCACTCTTACTCTCTGTCACTCTTACTCACTCTGTCACCCTTACCCATTCATACTCACTCTTACACTCATACTCTTACTCTCAATTACTCTTACTCTCAATCACTCTTACTCCCAATCACTCCTACTCCCAATCACTCCTACTCTCAATCACTCCTACTCTCATTCTTACTCTTACTCTTACTCCCAATCACTCTTACTCTCAATCACTCTTATTCTCATTCTTACGTACTCTTACTCTCACTCTTACTCTTACTCCCAATCACTCTTACTCTCAATCACTCTTACTCTCAATCACTCTTACTCCCAATCACTCTTACTCTCAATCACTCTTATTCTCATTCTTACTCCTACTCTCACTCTAACTCCTACTCCCAATCACTCTTACTCCCAATCACTCTTACTCTCAATCACTCTTACTCCCAATCACTCTTACTCTCAATCACTCTTACTCTCAATCACTCTTACTCTCAATCACTCTTACTCTCAATCACTCTTACTCTCAATCACTCTTACTCTCAATCACTCTTACTCTCACTAACTCTCAATCACTCTTACTCTCACTCTAACTCTCAATCACTCTTACTCTCATACTCACCCTTACTCTCAATCACTTTACTCTCACTCTTACTCATTCTGTCACCCTTACTCACTCTCAGTCACTCTTACTTATACTCACTCTTACTCACTTACACACTCTCTGGCACTCTCACTCACCTTCAGTCACTCTTACTCACTCTTACCCACTCTCGCTCACTCTTACTCACTCTAGTTAATAAGAACACGCCAATATAAGACAACAAAACGTTTTCAGATTCTTTCTCACCACTTTGCAGCAACTTTTATAATTTATATAAATTATCTTAGGGAATAATACATAAATTATATATTTAAACATGATATTAGTGTTTAGTGGAATGCATAAGGAGTCAAATTGTGTTAAAAAGAGCGATTTTTAGAAAATTTGGAAAACTACTTTTTTCTGTTCATATTATAACTAAATGGATTATAAAGGTTTCACTCAGCCAATATATATCATTCACAATTTATTAATGAATTTTACAAAAAAACACCATAAATTTTATATTTAAACATGTAAAAACTATTTGTTTTACATTTGGAAGAAAATAATTGTAGAAAAACAATTTATAATTAAACCTTTGTGTTTGGATTTTTTGAGTAAAAGTTTCTCAAAGGCTTTCCTGCACCATTCTCAATGCAAATCATTCCCACACCTATGGGAAGAGATAGGCGAACGTTGTGTAGATGATTTGTGTTTGCTGGGAAGGGAGTACCTAAGCAATAGGAAGCAGAGAGTTACAGTGAAGGGTGAGACCTCAGATTGGCGTGGAGTCACCAGTGGAGTCCCACAGGACTCTGTACTTGGACCTATCCTGTTTCTGATATACATAAATGATCTCCCAGAGGGTATAGACTCATTCCTCTCAATGTTTGCTGAAGACGCCAAAATTATGAGAAGGATTAAGACAGAGGAGGACAGCTTGAGGCTTCAAGAAGACCTGGACAAGCTACAGGAATGGTCGAACAAATGGTTGTTAGAGTTTAACCCAAGCAAATGTAATGTAATGAAGATAGGGGTAGGAAGCAGGAGATCAGATACAAGGTATCATTTGGGAGATGAAACACTTCAGGGGTCAGAGAGAGAGAAAGATCTGGGGGTTGATATCACGCCAGACCTGTCCCCTGAAGCGCATATCAAGAGGATAACATCAGCAGCATATGCCAGGTTGGCTAACATAAGAACGGCCTTTAGAAACTTGTGTAAGGAATCTTTCAGAACATTATATACCACATATATCAGACCAATCCTGGAGTATGCGGCTCCAGCATGGAGTCCATATCTAGTCAGGCATAAGACTAAACTGGAAAAGGTTCAAAGGTTTGTCACCAGACTAGTACCCGACCTGAGAGGTATGAGCTACGAGGAGAGACTACGGAAATTAAACCTCACTTCGTTGGAAGACAGAAGAGTTAGGGGGAACATGATCACCACATTCAAGATTCTCAAGGGAATCGACAGGGTAGATAAAAACAGGTTATTTAACACAAGGGGCACACGCACTAGGGGACACAGGTGGAAACTGAGTGCCCAAATGAGCCACAGAGATATTAGAAAGAACTTTTTTAGTGTCAGAGTGGTTGACAAATGGAATGCATTAGGAAGTAATGTGGTGGAGGCTGACTCCATACACAGTTTCAAGTGTAGATATGATAGAGCCCAATAGGCTCAGGAACCTGTACACCTGTTGATTGCCGGTTGAGAGGCGGGACCAAAGAGCCAGAGCTCAACCCCAGCAAGCACAATTAGGTGAGTACATTTAGGTGAGTACTCTCACTGCTCCAGCTGTTGATTGCTGGGGCTGGTTGGTGAGGCGTGAGGTGCGGCGAGCGAGGCGAGGCATGAGCCTTACCCACTGAGGCAACGTGACTGGTGGTGGTAACCACGCGCGTGACACTTAAGGTCGAGAATTGCTTAACTCCCCCACCAATAAACTGGGATAATGCGCGCTCACTATAAACACCGGTTTATGCACAAGTGTGATATTTACTGAAGGCTGAATGAATGCACGCTGGAATATATGTGTGTATATGTATATATATATATATATATTTATATATATATATATATATATATATATATATATATATATATATATATATATATATATATATATATATATATATATATATATATATATATATACAATGAAGGTGAAAACATGGGGGGATACATAAGGGATAAATGTGAGGTGAAACAGAGGCTGCAGAAGGCTTATTGGCCCATACGAGGCATCTCCTATCTAAACAAAGATTAATCCAGTGTAATTGGCCTGTTATGTTGGACATTGTCTTCTGTGTTGGCATCGATATGTTCTTGTCTTGTCCTTACTCTCATGGTGGGTAGAGTAAATAGTTCCGTGATTTGGGTGTTCATGGTAGGTCGCTCTATTCTTAAGTGAATTGCCTCAAGAATTTGTAATCTTCTTGCATCTTGGGTTTTGTCTATTATGCAGGTATTCTTGTTCAACATTTCTCTTGTTAGAGTAATGTCATGGGCTTGTCTCATGTGTCATGTGGTCCCACATTATGATAGTGTCATGTGGTCCAACATTATGATAGTGTCATGTGGTCCCACATTATGATAGTGTCATGTGGTCCCACATTATGATAGTGTCATGTGGTCCAACATTATGATAGTGTCATGTGGCCCAACATTATGATAGTGTCATGTGGTCCCACATTATGATAGTGTCATGTGGTCCAACATTATGATAGTGTCATGTGGTCCCACATTATGATAGTGTCATGTGGTCCAACATTATGATAGTGTCATGTGGTCCCACATTATGATAGTGTCATGTGGTCCCACATTATGATAGTGTCATGTGGTCCAACATTATGATAGTGTCATGTGGTCCAACATTATGATAGTGTCATGTGGTCCCACATTATGATAGTGTCATGTGGTCCAACATTATGATAGTGTCATGTGGTCCAACATTATGATAGTGTCATGTGGTCCCACATTATAGTAGTATCATGTGGTCCCACTTTAGGGTAATGGCACGTGGTCCCACTTTAGGGTAATGGCACGTGGTCCCACTTTAGGGTAATGGCACGTGGTCCCACTTTAGGGTAATGGCACGTGGTCCCACTTTAGGGTAATGGCACGTGGTCCCACTTTAGGGTAATGGCACGTGGTCCCACTTTAGGGGAGTGGAACGTGGTTCCACTTTAGGGTAATGGCACGTGGTCCCACTTTAGGGTAATGGCACGTGGTCCCACTTTAGGGTAATGGCACGTGGTCCCACTTTAGGGGAGTGGAACGTGGTTCCACATTCTGGTAGTCTTTCTACCATAAAGAAACTTCCACTTTTTGCTAGTTCCTGCTGTGTTTTCCCAAGTATCTCTCCTCTAGTTTGTCTAGTGTTGTCTGCGGCACCACTCCTCTCCTGTGAGTCCTGGATGTTGTGCTGCCCAGAACTGTGTGCCCTGGCCCATCAGTTCGTACTGTGAGCTCTTTAGTTTTCTCCCATACCAGGGCTGGATGCCAAGGTCTTCTATGGATTTTGGCCAGAGTTCACTGAGTGATGAGCCACATGACCCTCAGGCCCTGTGCTCCAGGTCCTCAAACTGCTGGGTATGCTGGGGCAGTTACCCTCAAGCGTGTTTCCATAGGAGCATTTCGGTCCGTGTCTGAGTGGATCTATTTAATGATATTTATTTCAAGTCTATCAGGCTATCTGCTCTCTACCTTTCCGTTTCTGGACCGTTTGAGCTGTTAGCAAAGTTTCCGTTGAACTAAGAGCTTTGTGCTTTCCCAGTGAGGTTCCCGGGTCTCTTAGACTTTGTTATATGCATTTCCTCTTGGTACTACGGGCCTCTGGATGTTGTCAGTGATTGTCGGCCCAGATTGTGGGTTCTGGTCTCCTGCTCTGGTGGTCTGAGTCTCAAGGCTGTGCAACCTGGATTCTTGGGTCTCGCAGCCTTGTGACTTCCTGCCAGTTGTGGTCACCCGTTCCCTCGTCTGTCTGCTTTCCTTGTGGGAAATTTACATCAATATACATAAAATGTATATTTTATTGCCACTAGATAAGCAACCTATTCGTACGCAATGTAAGTAAATGAAATAAGTTACCAACACTTGTTGAAGACGATGAGTTACAACGTGGCTGAAGAAATGATGACCAAACCACATTTCAGAAGATGGAGTAGCGACGACGTTTCGGTCCGACTTGGACCATTGGACCTGAACCGTCTATCACACGACTTGATAGTGGTCCTTGACGGACCGAAACGTCGTCGCTTTTCCATCTTCTGAGTTGTGGTTTGGTCATCATCAATACATGTTAGTGAGTACAGTAAGAACTACTTGTTATCAACCTTTCCCCCTTAGCACTGAAGATACTTCCAGGTAAAGTTGTGTTGGACCACGACCAGTGTACAGGTGGATCTGTGGATGGGGAGGTGAAGTGGGACGCCCGGGGCGACGCCTCCAGGACCCTCGCCCTATCCTCCCTCCTCAACCTCCCCAGGGATGGCCAGCCTTTGGAAATTCGGTAGGTAATGGCTAGGTCTATAAAAGGTTGTTGCCTTTCATGTAATTTTGGATTAAATATGTTTTTATGATTAAAAATCTACAATATAAAAGAGAATTTGTCAATATTTGTCTGTCTGTTCACACTTGGATGGTAGATGCTTGGTGCTAGCCTCACTAAACTATGCAGGTGAGGATAAATGGTGTGAGGTATGGAATAGATGTAGGCTGGTTGGGCTTGGCCTAAGTTATGTGCTTTAGGAAATATTAATATTTATAGACAATGCGATTTTCATGAAGTGTGAAATATTCGGGGCGATTTCCATATAGTTTTTAGTGATCATAATATTTTTTATCTGAGACCCTTACATTTCATTCAGTGCTTCTTAACAATAAATTTTCTGAGAGAAGGGGAAAGTACAGGGAGGCTAAGGGGAAGGGCAAAGGGTAGGCCAAAGGGGATGGGGGGCGAAGAGTAGAGAGGAGGAGGGGGGGGGAAAGGATTGCAGGAGGGGGGGCAGAGCCCATTGGAAAAATGTATGATTCTTTCATACATTTGTCAACATACTATTCAACAGGTTGACTAGTTCAGCAGTTTCCAAGGAGGATGTTATTAAACAAATAGTGAAACTCAAGCCAAACAAATCCCCAGGGCCGGACGAAGTGTTTCCAGGGTTGATGGAGCAAATAAACCCTGTCAAAAACCTGTATGCCAGGGTTTGTGATTGATGGAGCAAATCAATGACAAACCAGGAAACCCTATTTTTTTGAACCTTGAAGAAGCCTTCGAGCTAGCCAACACCCCAGCTGCACTATGCTGCCTGGCGGATAAGGAAATAAAAAGACACTCTGAGAGTACTCCCACACTCGTCAGTCTATGGCAGTACTCCCACACTCGTCAGTCTATGGCAGTACTCCCACACTCGTCAGTCTATGACAGTACTCCCACACTCGTCAGTCTATGGCAGTACTCCCACACTCGTCAGTCTATGGCAGTACTCCCACACTCGTCAGTCTATGGCAGTACTCCCACACTCGTCAGTCTATGGCAGTACTCCCACACTCGTCAGTCTATGACAGTACTCCCACACTCGTCAGTCTATGGCAGTACTCCCACACTCGTCAGTCTATGGCAGTACTCCCACACTCGTCAGTCTATGGCAGTACTCCCACACTCGTCAGTCTATGACAGTACTCCCACACTCGTCAGTCTATGACAGTACTCCCACACTCGTCAGTCTATGACAGTACTCCCACACTCGTCAGTCTATGGCAGTACTCCCACACTCGTCAGTCTATGGCAGTACTCCCACACTCGTCAGTCTATGACAGTACTCCCACACTCGTCAGTCTATGGCAGTACTCCCACACTCGTCAGTCTATGACAGTACTCCCACACTCGTCAGTCTATGACAGTACTCCCACACTCGTCAGTCTATGGCAGTACTCCCACACTCGCCAGTCTATGACAGTACTCCCACACTCGTCAGTCTATGGCAGTACTCCCACACTCGTCAGTCTATGACAGTACTCCCACACTCGTCAGTCTATGGCAGTACTCCCACACTCGTCAGTCTATGACAGTACTCCCACACTCGTCAGTCTATGGCAGTACTCCCACACTCGTCAGTCTATGACAGTACTCCCACACTCGTCAGTCTATGGCAGTACTCCCACACTCGTCAGTCTATGGCAGTACTCCCACACTCGTCAGTCTATGACAGTACTCCCACACTCGTCAGTCTATGGCAGTACTCCCACACTCGTCAGTCTATGGCAGTACTCCCACACTCGTCAGTCTATGACAGTACTCCCACACTCGTCAGTCTATGACAGTACTCCCATACTCGTCAGTCTATGACAGTACCCCACACACCCGTCAGTCTATGACAGTACCCCTACACTCGTCAGTCTATGATAGTACTCCCACACTCGTCAGTCTATGACAGTACACCCACACACTCGTCAGTCAATGACAGTACTCCCACACTCATCAGTCTATGACAGTAATCCCACACTCGTCAGTCTGTGACAGTACCCCCACACGCGTCAGTCTATGACAGTAACCCCACACTCGTCAGTCTACGACAGTACTCCCATACTCGTTAGTCTATGAGAGTACTCCCACTCTCGTCAGTCTAGGACAGTACCCCCACACTCGTCAGTCTATGACAGTACCCCCACATTCGACAGTCTATGACAGTACCCCCACATTCGTCAGTCAATGACAGTACCCCCTCACTCGTCAGTCTGTGACAGTACCCCCACACTCGTCAGTCTATGACAGTAACCCCACACTCGTCAGTCTGTGACAGTACTCCCACACTTGTCAGTCTGTGAAAATACCCTCACACTCGTCAGTCTATGACAGCTAGTACTCCTACACTCGTCAGTCTGTAACAGTACTCCCATACTCGTCAGTCTGTGAAAATACCCCCACACTCGTCAGTCTATGACAGTACTCCCACACTCGTCAGTCTGTGACCGTACCCCTACACTCGTCAGTCTATGACAGTACTCCCATACTCCTCAGTCTATGACAGTACTCCAACACTCCCCAGTCTGTGACAGTACTCCCACACTCGTCAGTCTGTGACAGTACCCCCACACTCGTCAGTATATGGCAGTACCCCCCACACTCGTCAGTCTATGGCAGTACCCCCACACTCGTCTGTCTGTGACAGTACCCCCACACTCGCCAGTCTGTGGCAATACCACCCACACTTGTCAGTCTGTGACAGTACACCTGCACTCGTCAGTCTATGACAGTACCCCTACACTCGTCTGTCTGTCACAGTACCCCAACACTCGTCAGTCTATGGCAGTACTCCCACACTCGTCAGTCTATGACAGTACTCCCACACTCGTCAGTCTATGGCAGTACTCCCACACTCGTCAGTCTATGACAGTACTCCCACACTCGTCAGTCTATGGCAGTACTCCCATACTCGTTAGTCTATGAGAGTACTCCCACTCTCGTCAGTCTAGGACAGTACCCCCAAACTCGACAGTCTATGACAGTACTCTCACACTCCTTAATCTATGATAGTACCCCTGCACTCGTCAGTCTAAGACAGTTCTCCTTCACTCGTCTGTCTATGACAGTACTCCACACTCGTCACTCTATGACAGTACTCCCACACTCGTCAGTCTATGAGAGTACCCCCAAACTAGTCAGTCTATTTCAGTACCCCCACATTCGTCAGTCTATAACAGTATTCCCACACTCGTCAGTCTATGACAGTATATCCCACTCTCGTCATTGTATAGCAGTACTCCCACACTCTTCAGTTATAGAAAGTACCCCCCAACACTCGTCAGCCTATGACAGTACCCCCAAAACTCGTCAGTCTATGACAGTACTTCCAGACTCGTCAGACTATGACATGACTCCCACACTCGTCAGTCTATGACAGTACTCCCACACTCGTCAGTCTGTGACAGCACCCCCACACTCGTCAGTCTATGACAGTACACCCACACTCGTCTGTCTGTGAGAGTTCCCACACACTCGCCAGTCTATGGCAGTACCACCCACACTTGTAAGTCTGTGACAGTACACCTGCACTCGTCAGTCTATGACAGTACCCCCACACTCGTCAGTCTGTGACAGTACACCCTCACTCGTCATTCTGTGACAGTACCCCCCACCCTTGTCAGTCTATGACAGTACTCCCACACTCGTCAGTCTATGACAGTACCCCACACTCGTCAGTCACTTACAGTATTCCCTAAGCTCGTCATTCTGTGACAGTACCCCACACTCGTCAGTCTGTGACAGTACTCTCACACTCGTCAGTATGTGACAATACCCCCACACTGGTCAGTCTATGACAGTACCCCCACACTCGTCACCCTATGACAGTGCTCTCACACTCGTCAGTCTGTGACAGTACCCCAACACTCGTCAGTCTGTGACAGTACCCCCACATTCGTCAGCCTATGACATTACCTCCCACACTCCTCAGTCCAAGACAGTTCTCCACCACTCGTCTGTCTATGACAGTACTCCCACACTCCTCAGTCTATGACAGTACCCCCACACTCGTCAGTCTTTGATAGTACTCCTACACTTGTAAGTCTTTCACAGTATCCCCCACACTCCTCAGTCTATGGCAGTACCCCCACGCTCGTCATTCTGTGACAGTACTCCCACACTCGTCAGTCTATGACAGTACCCCCCACACTTGTCAGTCTGTGACAGTACTCCCACACTTGTCATTCTTTGACAGTATCCCCTACACTTGTCAGTCTTTGACAGTCCCCTTCACATTCGTCAGTCTATGACAGTACTCCCTCACTCGTCAGTCTATGACAGCACCCCCACACTCGTCAGTCTATGACAGCACCCCCACACTCGTCAGTCTATGACAGTACCCCCACACTCATCAGCCTGTGACAGTACGCCTACACTCTTCAGTCTGTGACAGTACTCCCCACATTCATCAGTCTATAACAGTACTCCCATACTCGTCAGTCTATGAGAGTACCGCCTAAATCGTCTATGACAGTACTCCCACACTCGTCAGTCTTTGACAGTATCCTCACACTCGTCAGTCTGTGACTGTATCCCCACATTCGTCAGTCTGTGACAGTTCTCCCACTCCCGTCAGTCTGTGACAATACCCCCACACTCGTCAGTCTAGGACAGTACCCCCTCACTCGTCAGTCTATGATAGTACCCCCACACTCGTCAGTCTGTGAAGGAACCCAACACTCGTCAGTCTGTGACAGTTCACCCACACTCGTCAGTCTATGACAATACTCCCAAACTCGTCAGTCTATGACAGTAATCCCACACTCGTCAGTCTGTGACAGTACTCCCACACTCGTCAGTCTGTGACAGTACCCCCAGACTCGTCAGTTTGTGACAGTACTCCCACACTCGTCAGTCTGTGACAATACACCCGCACTCGTCAATCTATGACAATAATCTCACACTCGTCAGTCTATGGCATAACTCCCACACCCGTCAGTCTATGACAGTACCACCCACACTCGTCAGTCTATGAAAGGACTCCCACACTCGTCCGTTTGTGACAGTACTCCCACACTCGTCTGTCTATGACAATACTATCACACTCGTCATTCTATGAGAGTACTTCAAAACTAGTCAGTCTATATCAGTACACCCACATTCGTTAGTCTATAACAGTATTCCCACACTCGTCAGTCTATGACATTATATCCCACTCTCGTCATTCTATGGCAGTACTCCCACACTCGTCAGTCTGAGAAAAGACCCCCCAACACTCGTCAGTCTATGTCATTATTCCCACACTCCTCAGTCTATGACAGTACCCCTACACTCATCAGTCTATGTCAGTATTCCCACTCTCGTCAGCCTATGACAGTACTCCCCAACCTCGTCAGTCTATGACAGTACTTCCACACTCGTCAGACTATGAAATGATTTCCACACTCGTCAGTCTATGACAGTACTCCCACACTCGTCAGTCCTTGACAGTACCCCCACACTCGTCAGTCTATGACAGTACTCCTAGACTCGTCAGTCTATGACAGTACCCCCCACACTCGCCAGTCTCTGACAGTACTCCCACACGTGTCAGTCTTTGACAGTATCTCCCACACTTGTCAGTCTTTCACAGTCCCCTTCACATTCGTCAGTCAATGACAGTACTCCCTCACTCGTCAGTCTGTGACAGTACCCCAACACTCGTCAGTCTGTGACAGTACCCCCACATTCGTCAGCCTATGACATTACCTCCCACACTCCTCAGTCTAAGACAGTTCTCCACCACTCGTCTGTCTATGACAGTACTCCCACACTCCTCAGTCTATGACAGTACCCCCACACTCGTCAGTCTTTGATAGTACTCCTACACTTGTAAGTCTTTCACAGTATCCCCCACACTCCTCAGTCTATGACAGTACCCCCACGCTCGTCATTCTGTGACAGTACTCCCACACTCGTCAGTCTATGACAGTACCCCCCACACTTGTCAGTCTGTGACAGTACTCCCACACTTGTCATTCTTTGACAGTATCCCCTACACTTGTCAGTCTTTGACAGTCCCCTTCACATTCGTCAGTCTATGTCAGTACTCCCTCACTCGTCAGTCTATGACAGCACCCCCACACTCGTCAGTCTATGACAGCACCCCCACACTCGTCAGTCTATGACAGTACCCCCACACTCATCAGCCTGTGACAGTACCCCTACACTCTTCAGTCTGTGACAGTACTCCCCACATTCATCAGTCTATAACAGTACTCCCATACTCGTCAGTCTATGAGAGTACCGCCTAAATCGTCTATGACAGTACTCCCACACTCGTCAGTCTTTGACAGTATCCTCACACTCGTCAGTCTGTGACTGTATCCCCACATTCGTCAGTCTGTGACAGTTCTCCCACTCCCGTCAGTCTGTGACAATACCCCCACACTCGTCAGTCTAGGACAGTACCCCCTCACTCGTCAGTCTATGATAGTACCCCCACACTCGTCAGTCTGTGAAGGAACCCAACACTCGTCAGTCTGTGACAGTTCACCCACACTCGTCAGTCTATGACAATACTCCCACACTCGTCAGTCTATGACAGTAATCCCACACTCGTCAGTCTGTGACAGTACTCCCACACTCGTCAGTCTGTGACAGTACCCCCAGACTCGTCAGTTTGTGACAGTACTCCCACACTCGTCAGTCTGTGTCAATACACCCGCACTCGTCAATCTATGACAATAATCTCACACTCGTCAGTCTATGGCAATACTCCCACACCCGTCAGTCTATGACAGTACCACCCACACTCGTCAGTCTATGAAAGGACTCCCACACTCGTCCGTTTGTGACAGTACTCCCACACTCGTCTGTCTATGACAATACTATCACACTCGTCATTCTATGAGAGTACTTCAAAACTAGTCAGTCTATATCAGTACACCCACATTCGTTAGTCTATAACAGTATTCCCACACTCGTCAGTCTATGACATTATATCCCACTCTCGTCATTCTATGGCAGTACTCCCACACTCGTCAGTCTGAGAAAAGACCCCCCAACACTCGTCAGTCTATGTCATTATTCCCACACTCCTCAGTCTATGACAGTACCCCTACACTCATCAGTCTATGTCAGTATTCCCACTCTCATCAGTCTATGACAGTACTCCCCAACCTCGTCAGTCTATGACAGTACTTCCACACTCGTCAGACTATGAAATGATTTCCACACTCGTCAGTCTATGACAGTACTCCCACACTCGTCAGTCCTTGACAGTACCCCCACACTCGTCAGTCTATGACAGTACTCCCACACTCGTCAGTCTAGGACAGCACCCCCACACTCGTCAGTCCATGACAGTGCACCCAAATTCGTCAGTCTATGACAGTACTCCCACACTCGTCAGTCTAGGACAGCACCCCCACACTCGTCAATCCATGACAGTGCACCCAAATTCGTCAATCTATGACAGTACTCCCTCATTCGTCAGTCTGTGACAGTACTCCCACACTCGTCAGTTTTTGACAGTACCCCCACACTCGTCAGTCTATGACAATACTCTCACACTCGTCAGTCTATGACAATAATCCCACACTCGTCAGTCTATGACAGTACCACCCACACTCGTCAGTCTATGACAGCACCCCCACACTCGTCAGTCTATGACAGTACTCCCACACTCGTCAGTCTCTGACAGTTCTCCTACATTCTTCAGTCTGTGACAGTACCCCCACACTTGTCAGTCAGTGACAGTACACCCACACTCGTCAGTCTGTGACAGTACCCCTACACTCGTCACCCTATGACACTACTCCCACACTCGTCAGTCTTTGACAGTACTCCCACACGCGTCAATGTATGAAAGTACCCCTACACTCATCAGTCTATGACAGTACTCCCACCCTCGTCAGTCTAGGACAGCACCCCCACACTCGTCAGTCTATGACAGTACACCCAAATATATCAATCTATGACAGTACTCCCTCATTCGTCAGTCTGTGACAGTACTCCCACACTCGTCAGTCTTTGTCAGTACCCCGACACTCGTCAGTCTGTGACTGTACCCCGACACACTCGTCATTCTATGACAGTACTCCCACACTCGTCAGTCTGTGACAGTACTTCTACACTCGTCAGTCTGTGACAGTACCCCCACACAGGTCAGTCTTTGACAGTACCCCCACACTCGTCACCCTATGACAATACTCCCACACTCGTCAGTCTTTGACAGTACTCCCACACTTTTCAGTCTTTGACAGTATCCCCCACACTTGTCAGTCTTTGACAGTCCCCTTCACATTCGTCAGTCTATGACAGTACTCTTTCACTCGTCAGTCTATGACAGCACCCCAACACTCGTCAGTCTATGACAGCACCCCCACACTTGTCCTTCTTTGACAGTTCTCCTACATTCCTCAGTCTGTGACAGTACCCCACACACTCGTCAGTCAGTGACAGTACACCTACACTCGTCAGTCTGTGACAGTACCCCTACACTCTTCAGTCTGTGACAGTACTCCCACACTCGTCAGTCTGTGACAGTACCCCCACACTGGTGAGTCTATGAAAGTACTCCCACACTCGTCAGTCTAAGACAGTACTCCCACACTCGTCAGTCTGTGACAGTACCCACACACTCGTCAGTCTATGACAATACTCTCACACTCGTCAGTCTGTGACAGTACTCCCACACTCGCCAGTCTATAACAGTACCACCCACACTCGTCAGTCTGTGACAGTACCCCCACACTCGTCACCCTATGACACTACTCCCACACTCGTCAGTCTTTGACAGTACTCCCACACTCGTCAGTCTTTGACAGTACTCCCACACTCGTCAGTCTATGACAATACTCTCACACTCGTCAGTCTGTGACAGTACTCCCACACTCGTCAATCTATGACAATACATTCACACTTGTCAGTCTATGACAATACTCCCACACTCGTCAGTCTATGAGAGTACTCCCCACACTCGTCAGTCTGTGACACTATTCCCACACTCGTCACCCTTTAACACTACACCCACACTCGTCAGTCTTTGACAGTACTCCCACACTCGTCAGTTTAAGACAGTACTCCCACACGCGTCAATGTATGAAAGTACCCCCACACTCATCAGTCTATGACTGTACCCCCACACTCGTCAGTCTTTGACAGTACCCCCCACACTTGTCAGTCTTTGACAGTACCCCCACACTTGTCAGTCTTTGACAGTACCCCCCACACTCGTCAGTATTTGACAGTACCCCCCACACTTGTCAGTCTTTGACAGTACCCCCACACTTGTCAGTCTTTGACAGTACCCCCGCACTCGTCAGTCTTTGACAGTACCCCCGCACTCGTCAGTCTTTGACAGTACCCCCACACTCGTCAGTCTTTGACAGTACCCCCACACTCGTCAGTCTTTGACAGTACCATCCTCCACCTAAGCTCCAGTAAGTACCATCTTTCACCATCCTCCAGTGGCTACCGTCGTGACGGTGTTCTCCATCACTGAGACGAAAGGTATACAATAACCATATATTACAGTGTGATATATAACTTGTGTGTTGATGCAAGACAAATACTCAACACTGTCTTTTTCCAGTGGACAGTTTTCGTTGCTGGGATGGCAGTGGGAGACAGTGTTGAAGGTGGCGCTGGGACGGCAGGTGGGCGACACCCACTGGGTCACCTACCTCCTCATCTTCCCTGATACCTCCAGGTACGTCATGACGTAAAAGTAATATGAGATGTTCTCTATAATATCCAAATATTCATCCCTATCTTTTGGGTGTACATTCAGAGGCTGAGTTGCAGTCAAATAAAGAAGATTTCTTTAGATCAAGATGGTAAGATGTATTGCATAGGTTAGAAATCATAGCTTAACTGACCATTTTGGTGTCTGAGAAGCGAGGTTTCAAAGATCATCAGCAGCAGTATTCACACGAAGGAAACAGTTATATGAAGATTTGCTTATACAGTCCATATGGAAGTCTCCAACACCGATACAGTCCAGATGGAAGGTCTCCAACACCGATACACTCCATATGGAATGTCTCCAACACTGATACAGTCCAGATGGAAGGTCTCCAACACCGATACAGTCCATATGGAATGTCTCCAACACTGAAACAGTCCAGATGGAAGGTCTCCAACACCGATACAGTCCAGATGGAAGGTCTCCAACACTTGAACCGTCCAGATGGAAGGTCTCCAATACCTGTACAGTCCAGATGGAAGGTCTCCACACTTGCACAGGCCTGATGGAAGGTCTCCAACTCTTATACCGTCCAGATGGAAGGTCTCCAACACTGGAACATTCCAGATGGAAGATCTCCTCACATGTTCAGGCCAGATGGAAGGTCTCTAACACTTGTTCAGTCCAGATGGAAGGTCTCCAACACTTGTACAGGCCACATAGAAGGTCTATAACACTAGTACAGTCCAGATGGAAAGTCTCCACACTTGCACAGGCCAGATGGAAGGTCCTCAACACTTGTACATTCCAGATGGAAGGTCCCCATCACTTGTACAGTCCAGATGGAAGATCTCCACACTTGTTCAGGCCAGATGGAAGGTCTCCAACACTTGTACAGTCCAGATGGAAGGTCTACAACGCCGATGCAGTCCAGATGGAAGGCCTCCAAAATTTATACAGGCCAGATGGAGGGTCTCCAACACTTGTACAGGCCAGATGGGAGGTCTCCATCACCTGTACAGTCCAGATGGAAGGTTTCCAAAATTTGTACAGGCCAGATGGAAGGCCTCCACACTTGCACAGGCCAGATGGAAGGTCTCCAACACTTGTACAGGAAATATGGAAGGTCTCCAACAACGATACAGTCCATATGAAAGGTCTCCAACACTGATACAGTCCAGATGGAAGGTCTCCAACACCGATACAGTCCAGATGGAAGGTCTCCAACACTTGAACCGTCCAGATCGAAGGCCTCCAATACCTGGAGAGTCCTGATGGAAAGTCTCCACACTTGTACAAGCCAGATGGAAGGTCTCTAACACTTGTACAGTCCAGATGGAAAGTCTCCAAGACCGTTACAGTCCTGATGGAAGATCTCCAACACCTGTACAGTCCTGATGGAAGATCTCCAACACTTGTACAGTCCAGATGGAAGGTCTCCAACACTTGTACAGTCCAGATGGAAGGTCTCCAACACATACAATCCAGATGGAAGGTCTCTAACACTTGTACAGTCCAGATGGAAGGTCTCCAACACTTGTACAGTCCAGATGGAAGGTCTCCAACACTTGTACAGTCCAGATGGAAGGTCTCTAACACTTGTACAGTCCTGATTGAAGGACTCCAACACCTGTACAGTCTTGATGGAAGGTCTCCAACACGTGTACAGCCCAGATGGAAGGTCTCCACCACGGATGCAGTGCAGATGGAGGTCTCCACCACGTGTACAGGCCAGATGGAAGGTCTCCACCACGTGTACAGGCCAGATGGAAGATCTCCACACTTGCACAAGCCAGATGAAAGGTCTCCAACACTTGTACAGGCCAGATGGAAGATCTCCACACTTGCACAAGCCAGATGGAAGGTCTCCACACTTGTTCAGGCCAGATGGATGGTCTCCAGCACTTGTTCATTCCAGATGGAAGGTCTCCAACACTGGTACAGGCCAGATGGAAGGTCTCCAACACGTGTACAGGCCACATGGAAGGTCTCCAACACTGGTACTAGCCAGATGGAAGGATTCCAACACGTGTACTGGTCAGATGGAAGGTCTCCAACACTGGTATTGACCAGGCTCGAGTCGCCTCACAGACAACCGATGGGTCGCGTGTAGAAACATTCATCTGGTATGAACACTAGCTTGAGAGGCCTTCCAGTGGTCTACTGTCTGAATGGACAGAGTTTGGAGGCTGTAGTCCTAAGGGCACTTTTCGGTGCCCTTAGGACTACAGGCAGATGCAAATCGGTAGGATTCTTTCACCTGATGACCTGTTCACCTAACACTAAAAAGATACCTGAAAGTTAACTACTTCGGTCTGCTTCCTGTTAATGTGTGTAGGGTCCCCGTGGCTGAGTGGACAAACCTGTCCTCCTTCAAAGAAAGTCGCATTTCACTTGTATGCGTTATATAAGGCCAAAAATTGCTGTACTAGAAAATGGAAGCGGGTCGCGAAAGTGATGTAATGCCCCATTTTCTGGTTTGGGTCCTCCGGCAGGTTAGGAGAGGACACTTTAAATTTACAGTTTTCTTGACGTTGGGAAGCCTTAGGAGGACGGGCTGCCCTGCGGACAGCGCTTAGAGGTCGTAGTCCTAATGGCTCGGTTACGATTCCGGGTGGAGACGGAAACAAATGGGCAGAGTTTTTTCACCCTGATGCACGTGTTCATCTAGCAGTAAATAGGTACCTGGGAGTTAGACAGCTGCTACGGGCTGCTTTCTGGGTTTGTGTGTTTGTGTGTTAGAGATAAATTTATGTAGCAGATATAATAGTGGAAAAATAGATTGGCTAGAAAGGTGGGGTCTAATAGCTAACAGCGCAATTCTGCAGACACAAATAGTAAATACACCCACACGCGCGCGCACACACAAGGTGGATGATGAATTTTTTTCAAATTTTGCTGATGGGTGTTTGATTGGCAGTTGTACGACAGAAGAAAAATTAATACAAAATCAACACTCGGTTTGGAATTAGATAGGTATAGTTGAAATAATGTAATTAAGCACTTTGTTAGTTATATGAGAAATTTTATGAATCCTCACTCCATTTTCTTTTCGTTCCCCCTCCGTGGTGTCGCCTTGTCGTGGTGAGGGGCTCACCCTGGGACCGGTGAGGGTTGCCTGTGCCCCCTCTCCTGCCCCTCTTTGGGTGGTGTACGTGCGGATGGGCACCACGTAGGGGCCTTGTGAACCATCGGACCACCCGCTGGAGGGGTCGCCCGTGAGGGGGCTGCCCTGAGTGGATGGTTGGGTGTCCAGGCTGGGGCGATAGGGGGACTGGGGTCTTAGCACCAGTGTGGGAGAATGGACGATGTAGTAGGACTCCCCTGTTGAACAGAGGGAGCACCGCTGGGGACGACGCACCCTTCCTGCACTGGCCCGCTCTCGGCCTCCCTGGCTGCCCTGGTAGGTGGTATCCCTTGGTTCCGGGTCCCAGATTCTTTCGCATGATTGATTTATAGATAATGACACAACCTCTCTTACACAAGCTCATGGGGTGGGCGACCAGGCCTCTGAGTCGGAGTATGATGGGGCTACAGACCAGGCTCTGTAGCTGGGGCTACAGACCGGGCTCTGTAGCCCGGTCTGTAGCCCTCCCTCCTCCCTCCCGGTCCCCTCCCTCCTCTGTGGTAGGGGTCGAGTCCAAGCCACCAGCTTTGACCACCTCATCCCCTGGTACGGCTCCATTTCTCGTTGTGACTACTGCACCTTTTATCCCTTTTATTATACCGATAATAGGTTAAGTAATAATTGTAATTACGAAGCAATAAGATACTTACCTTAACATACTAAGAAGGTTAGGTAAGGTCGGTGTTTTCTATGAAGCTTTTCAAGGTAAACTAAAATATTCACAATAAATTAGTATGTCACATATGCACTTATTTAATAAGTCAATATTGACTTAAAGAAAGTGCGAGAACGGGTTGCACACCTTGGTTGTTCCTGCAACGTGGGCTAAATACTTTGATCTTCACCATCTGGATTTTACTCCTCCTGACGATTTATCCCTCCATAGGCATCTAATGTTGATTCGGTAGATGCCTCAGTTACTTTTAACCCCACCCATCTCGGTACGCGTGTCGTTGCTGCTCCTTCTCAGGATGCAGCCACCCTCTTAGCCGCACTGTCTTGCATTGGGGAGACTCCTGTTCGGGTCTCCAAAAACGCTTGGTTAAATGCCAGTGTTGGCACTGTTCTCCTCCTGCACCATGTTGCAACTGGTGTTAGGGACCTCAAGGACTGCCATGAGGATAAACATATCCTAGAAGCCCAAGGCCATTCTGTCCTCCAGGTGGACATGTTCACTCGACCCCCTCGTGGTCGTCGCTGTCAGCCCCTTCGGATTGTGAAAATTACCTTTGATAGGAGAACCCTTCCGCCATCTATTATTCTTGCTGGTGCCAGATGCTCCGTTCAGGAGTACATTCCCTCTCCTCGGCTTTGTAATAAGTGCTGGAAATTTGGGCATGGTGCCCTCAGATGCTCCAGTACTGTGTCTCTATGCCCCATGTGTGGGGATGATGGTCTAATCAAACCTAATTAAGCTAATCAAACCAGTCCAGCAGGACTCGTGTTGTTGCCGCTCTCGGCTGGTATACCACAACACATCTCAGCCCTCTTGCTGGGAAAAATAAGATCAAATGAACTAAGTGAACATCGGGTGCTCACTTAGACTCAAAATGTAATCCAAAGTAATTGCAGCAAAACAATCTGAAGAAACAAAGCAAGACTTGTCACTGAGACAGTCTTCTGTAAACCAAATTAATTATGTTAACACAAATCCCTGTGTACTGCAATCAATTAAAACAATTACGTTACAGTTCTATCACACAGATAAGAATAAACATTAGCTTAATAAACATACTTAATAAAATAAACAAAATTTCTCAAATAAATGTATTACATACAAAATAAACAATTACCTAATTACGTTAATTAAATACATTAATTATTGTCACTTTGACAATTATCATCCAAATGTAATTTACATTAATTACAATGTGTCACTGAGACAGCTCAATCAAAC